TAATCTACTTTCGATATACTCTGTTGTATTCTAGAGCCCGGGTTTCCTGTTTGAAGACGACTTCAAAATGCCAGGGAATCCACCATCAAGTATGGTGCAGGAGGTCTTAAATGAAATCCGCAGCTATGTGGACAAATAGGAGCTCACACTCAATAATAATAAAAGCAGATAACTGTTACGGAACAACGGGTTAGAGGAGTTGCGGCGATGGATCAACGAATCCAATTGTGCCCGCCGAAGCGGTGAGAGACCCAGGTATGCTCATGCATTTATCATTCAGGCCTTCGAAACAATGGTCGATAGCAGCAGCAAAGGCCAACACGATATATATTTACATTGAATATATTATCCCAACTTCATGTCATCTGACAGTAAGACACGTTCGTCCAANCCCAGACTTAACCCTAAATACGGTGGCGTTTCGCCCGATCCCTTTCGTCCCTCATGACCCCGAGGTTTGGTTAGCAGCCTTAGAGCTGCAGTTTGCTCATAGAAATGTTAAGAACCAACGCACAATGTTCGCGTTGGCCCTGGAAGCCATCCCGGGCAACCAGTTGTCTTATTTGCTGGATTTAGTTTTTGAATCCCCCCAGGAGTACCCTTTTGATAAATTGTAATCAGCCATTCTCGATGCTCTCCTCCCATCCAAGGGGGAAAGGCAGCGGAAGCTATTGGCACGCCACCCAAAGGGTGACGCCAAGCCCAGCCAACATCTAGCTCACCTGAGATCCCTCGCCGGACCTCACGATGCCCATTCAGACATCGTCAGGGAGGTATGGATTGAGTCTTTACCAGTCCATGTCCAGCCCTCCTATAAGACACCTCGCTCGATAGGGTAGCTTCCATCGTAGATAAAATTATGGCCCGGGTTGGTAACGCCGAGCCCTTGCTCGTTGCCACGACTTCCCATCAATCTACCCCGCCACGTTCTGCACAGCGTGGTAAATCACGCTGCATTCACGAGCGCCTATCCTTTAAGGATGAGGTCTCTCAATCCACCTCACAGACCTACAGGGACCGGTCACGCCGTGGTCGCCCTAAGGCTGCAAAGCCCACGCTTCCTCTCGGCCCAACGTCCCAAGTCTAAACCCTCAAAATAGGGTAGGGACGGGTATTGCTGGTTCCATAAAACTTGTGGGCCAGGTCCCCACAGATGTAAGCTCCCTTGCACTTAAGTCACGGGAAACGCCACCACCGGCGAGTAATTTCGGCCGTACTCGCCGGCCCACCCACCCCCCAGATTGGCTGCCTATTTTACCTGCAAGAATACTACACACGCACTAGGTTCCTCGTTGACACGGGAGCCCAGATTTCTGTCGCACTTGTCGGTAGCAGCAAGCCTCGTGCTTCACTACTTCAGTTGTGCGCTGCGAATGGCGCCCCCATTCCTACTTACGGTGCACAACTAGCGGTTATCCCGGGGCCTCGACGACGGTCTCCGTGGACGTTCCTACAGGTATCCTCGGTATCGATTTTCTGAAGCTCTATGAGTTACTCGTTGACTCACGTAGACTGCGGATGATTGATACTTCGTCGAACATTAAATTCACGGGCGTCAAAGCTCACACAGACGTTCACCGAATCACAGGTATCTTACCTGATTCGCTCGACTCGTTCCAATTGTTAATGGAACGCTTCCCCAATTTGACTAAACCTATTGAGGAGATCAACCTAGTGACAGATCGTGTGGTTCACCATATAGTCACGAAAGGACCACCAGTCACGGCACGACCTCGCCGACTGGCACCGGATAAATTAGCTTTTGCTAAGCGTCAGTTCGACACTTAACTTTCAAAAGGCATTGTTCGTCCTTTTCACAGTCCATGGGCCTTTCCTTTCAACATGGTTGTTAAAAAAGACGGACTTAGCTAGTGAACATGTGGCGATTATCAAGCACTTAACGCAGTGATTCGTTTCGATAGCTACCATATTCCCCACATTCACGACATCATCACTTCACGGCTCGACTATTTTTTTGAAAATGGTGCGGGCCTACCACCAAATCCCAGTCGCTCCTGAAGACGTTGAAAAAAACTGCTGTCACGACTCCTTTTGGTCTGTTTGAGTTCCTACGTATGCCTTTTGGTTTGCAAACTGCTGCTCAGTCTTTCCAAAGGTTTACCGATAGTATTACACGAGACTTCAATTTTGTTCACGTCTATATCGATGATTTATTAATAGCATCATCCTCTGTAGACGAACATTATCGTCATTTGGCATTATTATTTCAACGTTTATCAGACCATCAAATAGTGGTCAACCCTGATAAGTGTGAACTTTGTCGATCGGAACTTATTTTCCTTGGCCACAAGATCACACGAGAAGGTATTCAGCCGTGTCAGGATAAGGTTTGTGCCATAACAGACTACACCTTACCATCTTCCCTCAAAGACCTCCAATCATTATTGGGACTGGTAAATTTCTACCGGCGGTTCATCCCTCATGCTGCTGAACGGTTACGACCACTGACGGACCTACTTCGTGGCAATCCACATAAGCTCGTACTTACTTACTTCCACACGAGTAGCGTTCAAGGAAGTAAAAAAGTGTATAGCACGTACGACTCTCCCTATGCATCCCGATCCATCAGTCATGCTTAGCATGGCGGTTGATGCCTCTGATTATGCCATCGGAGCGGTCTTGTAGCACCACGTTTCTGGGATGTGGCAGCCTTTCGAGTTTTATTCTCGACTCCTCACTCCCACAGAAACGAGATATAGTACTTTTGGTTGAGAACTGCTGGCTGCTTACAGTGCAATTAAGCATTTTCGGCATACAGTTGAAGGTAGAAATTCCACCCTTCTCACCGACCATAAGCCTCTAACGTATGCTTTGCATACCAACTCTGATCGTTATTCTCCTCGAGAAACCAGACATTTAGACCATATTTCACAGTCCACGACTGACCTTCGACATGTGCAGGGCAAGTCGAACTGTGTTGCTGACGCGTTATCACGCATTAGCACTAATGCAATAACGCCCACCGTGCTAGATTTCTCTGCCGTGGCTGCAGCACAGGCAGACGATACCTCCTGTCAAGAGGTAGCCCGTTCATCCTCGTTGCAATGTCAAGCAGTACCTCTAGCAACGACGTCTGGCATTATCCTCTGCGACACCTCAACAGGCATCCTTCGCCTAATAGTACCTTCTTCTTATCAGCGTCTCGTGTTCGATACCTTACCTATCTCACCCAGGTATCGCAGCCACATTACGCTTAATTGCTGCAAGATACTTCCGGCCGTCCATGAATAAAGATGTCCGAATGTGGGCGAAACAGTGTCTAGGAGCTACGATTCACAGGCACGTAGTTTCACCTATAGACACTTTCGCTACGCCTGATGCTCGATTCGATCATGTGGAAATTGACATTGTCGGACCTTCACCACCGTCACAGGGGTATGCGCATAAACTTACATGCGTTGACAGGTTTACAAGATGAACCGAAGCTATTCCCATCTCTACTGTCACGGCCGAAACAGTGGCTCGACAATTTGTAGAACGATGGGTAGCTTTATACGGTTGTCCCTCAAAGGTTATCACCGACAAAGAACAAATATTTGAGTCCAATCTTTTCTCCTCATTAACGCGTATGCTGGGTACGGAATACATTCGAACCACAGCCTATCATCCAGCATCTAATCGTTTAATCGAGCGTTTTCACCGCCAACTTAGGGCTGCCCTAAGGGCGCGCGAGAATTCTAATTGGCACGAAACGCTACCTCTAGTTCTGCTCGGAATCAAAACTAGTGTAAAGGCAGACATCCAATGTTCCACCGCTGAACTTGTCTTCGGCACGACATTACGACTGCCTGGGGAATTCTTAACGCCACGGAGTAGTGTCAACATAGGCATACCGACACGTTCAACGTTTGTTCACCTTCATGCAGACATTGTCTCCGGCGCAACCACGAATACAACAGTGGCGGG